TCTCAGGAAAGCCTTGGAGTTCATTCCAGCACGTAAACCTGGGTTGGAGTCCTCAGTGACAGAGAAACACCTCTCCTTGCCTTTGCAGGTGCCCTCCTTTTGCAATGCTCTTTATCTGTCCTCTAGCGCCCCGCCTCCCCATGTCTGTCTGCAGACTGGCCCCAGCCTTGTAGGGGATTCCTGTGGAAATCCCTTTCCCTCCTCTGGCCCCCTCCCACCGCACCGTGGGTCTGCCGTAGTGCAGCTGTAGGGTTACACCAGACCCCACACTCCCTGAGGGCATCAGGCACCTTTTCTGTTCTAATTTACACAGCAAACACCAGCATGATGGTGGGCCCCCAGGGACTTGCCACACCTTCAGTAAACCAAAGATGGGTTAAAACAGGAGCGATGCTGGTCTGGGTGGACAGTGGCCTCCCAGCCAGACTGAGGACCGTGGAGTAACCAGCCTCCAGGTCCCCCACCAGCTGAGGCAGAGAAACCTGCTGGGGAGGTCTTTCCATTTCCTAGTGTCCTGAGCCACTGGATCCACCCACCCACCTTCCAGTCCTGTCTTCTTGCTGAGTCATCTGCAGTGACGTGCACCAAACTGACCCTCAGGGCGCAGGTTTTCTATGCAGGACTGGTGCCCTCTGCTGTCACATGAGGTACCCGTTGCCCTCTAGTCCTTCGTGGCCACACCTAGCCCTTGGGGTCCTTGGGTTCACCTCTGGAGGTAGAGGCCATGTTCATCAACCATGGTGCAGGGCGCCTCGTGGGTTAAATAACAGCAGAGCCTTTTGAGGGGCTCTCATAGTGAATCGGGCCCCCGTGGAGGGGAACTGTGGTGTGAATTATCCCAAAGTCTTGCATTACATAATGTCCCCCAATGGCATGGCGGTTACAGTTGCTCCGGAGGGGGCAGTACCTTTACCAGTCTAATTGTATCGAGTTTGAGCCAGCATTCAAATGTCTTTATCTTTCCTGAAATGAGGTGGTCCCAGCTCCCTTAGAAGCAAAGGAGATGAAGCCAGGAAGGAAATGCCAGCTGCAGGTCTGCACAGTGCAGACTCAAGAATTGCATGTAGGGTCCTCACTGTGGGGCTTTCTAATGCAGGAGCCCGAGGCAACGCCTTCTGTGCAAATGCTCTCTCAGGGAGTGCAGTCCTGGGGAAGTAAGAGTGTAGGGAGAGGGAAGTGGGGCTGGGGTGGAAGAGAACAAACACAGACTTCGATATTTCTGGTCTGGCCACAGCTTTGCAACCAAACGCAGCTGGTTGCTCAGACACCCGGGCTGTCTCTGCAGACGCCATGTGGAGCCCTACATTTCAGACCAGTGCACTGGGGGAGAGGAAGGGCAAGTGGTTTCTCTCCTGTCCCTTTCCTGTCACCTGCCTCTCATTGGTCAAAGCCTGCCTCCCCTACCAGTCAGAGAGACTTTGCCTCCCCCACCAGTCAGAGAGTGTCACTGGGCCCCTCCCCAGCCACCAGGAAGCAGGTGTGGCTCAGACAGTGCAGCGGTACAGGGGTCCCTTTTTTCTGGTGACAGTGGTGGCAGTGGCTTTGTGACCATGGGACAAGTGGCAAGGCAAATGGCCTGAGAGGCAGGTGAGGTGAGCAGACCCGGGTGGGACATAAACTACGTCCATCTTCTTGAAATCAGTGCATGCCACCTGCAGAAATAATCCTAATTTCAGCAAAGGACTTGGTAAGGAAAGGCCACGTGGATTGATGCAGTCAGCAGGCATAACCTTTGACCCCCTCATGGGCAGACACATTGGCTTTTTGTATGGTAGGAGGTTCAATAAAGGATCGTGATGCGTTGTCCCTGTTTTTGTTGAGGAGCTAAATTTAAGTCACAGCAGAAAGGCTTCAATTTCAGTGAACCCTGGTTAGTAGGAACTCAGCTGTCTGACATCCCCATTAATTAAGAATTGATTGCTGCTTAACAAATGCTTTAGATTTAGTGCTTAAAGGAACATGCATTTCTTATCTTGCAGTCTCGTTAGGCCAGGAATCTGCGTGCAGCTTACTGGGTGCTTGGCTCAGGGTCTCCCGTCACAGCCAACAAGGAGCGGACACAGCTGCCGTCTCACTGGAGACCCAACTGGGAAGGGACCCCTTGCACGCTGGTCTGGGCTGCTGGCAGAAGCCACTTCCTTGCAGTCATAGGACTGAGCTCTCAGAAACTAGGGGTCACGTGCAGTCCCTGCCACATGGGTTCCCCCAGCAGAGCCACTTGCCTCCTTCAAGCCATCGCAGGAGGAAAAGAAGAGTCCAACGAGGTGGTGGCTCCGCCTCATTGAACATAATCCCAGAGACGTCACTGCGTGTGCCTGTCGGCTTTGCTGTATTCTCTTGGTTAGAACGGAGTCACAGGTTCCCCGCCACCCCCAGACTCATACCAGGGTGTGATGAACACAGGAGGCTGGTGTCATGGGGCCACTTTAAGAGTCTGCCCAGCACTTCTCATTTCTCTAGAACTCTATTTATAAACAAAAGCAACAAATAAGTAAAAACAAATCCACCACATGTTTATATCAGAAATCAGGTGTAAGAAAAAGGTTCCGTGGGATGTGCTGGGTCAACCTACATCACCACCTGCAGCCCCCATCTGTCCCAGTGGGAAGACGGCACAGGTCAAGTCCACTCCGCCTGCCCCCCATCCCCTCCCCCGTCTCCCATCCCTGCTCCCCCGCCCCTGAGTGCTCTTTGTTAAGCAGAGAAATGGGCTCAGTCAACAGAAAGGGAGTCATAGCCTTTCCAACATTAAAAGAACAATTTTCTGTTTCAGTATCAACAAGCCAGAACATTCAATTACCTAGGAAATCCCATCCCTACACTCTCAGGAAACCCGAGCCTTCTCAAAACAACCAAGACGGAGGTGCTGTCTTCCATGTGACGGTCCTGTGTGGACTTGCCCTGGAATCAGCAGCCACTGAGCGAAGGGCACCGCACTGGGGGCTCGGATCGGGCAGTCTGGGCCCCCCTCCGCAGCCGTCTGTTCCTCGGGGCCTTTTTTCGTTTCTCCCGTTTGGCGCCTGCCTGCCGGGCCTTACGCAGGCCCAGCCACTGTGTCAGGATGTAATTGACTGAGTGCCCCAGACCAGTGCCGGCTCTCCCGAGCCCATCAGGGCAGGGACAGTGAGGTGGCACCCGACAGGAGGAAGGCCACTTCCAAGGCTCACGGTTGATGGACCACACGAGCTGTGATTAGCATTTTAATTGCAAGGCTTACATTCAGGGTGCAGGTTTCAAAGACCAAAAGCACTCGGCAGGCTTAGAAAGGGACCAGGGCACCGTCTGTGCTTCAGACTGGGGACCCTGCTGCGACACCTTTCTTTCTGGGCCTGCACGTTACAGTCAGACTCCAGGAAAGGAGAGATTTGCCCTTCCTTTTCAGGTCTGACTCCAACCCTACCTCTTCTGGGACCTTTTCCTAAACCCACACCCAAACCCACACCCACACCCACACCCATTCTTCCAGGTGCTCAGTCCCCCTCGTTCCCATCCCCTGCCTGGAATTCCCTAGAACTCACTGCTCCTACTTCTGATTTGGCAAAAAAAAAAAAAAAAAAAAAGAGAGAGAGATCAAGGCACAAAATGCTAACATCACTTCCTGTGGTGTTTGGCGATGCTGGACAGCCCCGGTGGCGCACCCGCCCTCGACGGGCAGGAGGCACACGGCGTCTCTGCAGCAGTGGCCGGCAGCCTTTTCACCTCTGCACACACAAGATTTTGCTGATTTGACCTAAAAAAAATAGATACAATTTTGACTCACCCACACTGGATGGCTGTTGTTGTATTGACTGTTGTCAGTTTTTTTAAATGTGACAACCTACGGGAAGAGAGGTGGGTGCCCCTGACTAAATAGTCGAGTGTTGCGTGTTGTGCAAACCCTGAAGCACACCGGGCGAACCTTGCAGTTGCCAGAGCTCTTTGCACATTGGCGAGTGTTCCACACACATTGTTTTTGCACTTGGCACATTTGTCACTCAAAATATTTCCTCAGGTAAGTTCAGTTTTGTAAGCCTTCCAGAGTAGAATGCTCACAGCTTCGTTTTTATTGTTTAGGGTAAAGAATATAATTCATATGAAGCCCTTGCATGTGGCACAGAGTAAACACTCAGTATGTGTGTGCATTGTTATGGCTCAGAGCCCACCGTTGCTGCCCTGGGGTTCGCGGTTTGACGTCCGACGGCAGAGCCAGGGTCCAGCAGCCCTGCCCAGTGCTCTGTTGCTTTCAAACAGGATATTGAGGGATAATGTGCACACTGTAAACTCCGCCCTTCTGAGCAGACCGTTCCCTGAGTTTTGAAAAGCACATACATAGAGTTGCTACACAGCTTCTTTGGCTGTAAGTTGCAGCGCATCATGATCAACAATTCTTTGTCTTGTCTGTGGACTCACATACTCTTCGTCTGTAATATTCCCGAGCTGCTTCTAGGAGATGCCTCGTTACCTCACCTCGGCCAGTCTAGGAGCCACTTCCCAAATGGCACTGACGTTCCGTAGCAGCTCCATGTAAGGAGCTAATCCAGAGTCAGGACAAAGTGGTCCTGTAGGTTTCAGGGCCTGGATTATTTCCAAGAGGCCTCACTTGTTTGCAAGAATGTGAGAATGTGATTGAGTCATACCAGAGCCTGTTTGGGTAACTCGGAAATTTGACTCTGTAGACATGCACTGAGTCCGGTCCCGCGGCTCATCTGCGGTGGAAGAAGGGGAATAGGTGGGGTTATAGGCTGCAGGGCACGGGGGCCTCTCTGAGGGCAGAGATCATGGTTTTCCCTTTTTATGACCCTAGTACTTAACACGGCTCATCTTGGTGTCTGTACTGAGTGGTCCTAGGATGGAGATCAGGCAGGACCATGCCATCTCAGGGGGACCTACCCGTCACTCAGAGGTATCTGAAGACAGCAGGGAGAAGCCCCACCAAGAGGAGCCCTGTCGCTAAGCTCTGGTGGGGCCCCTCCCCTCCATCCTTAGTAACCTCAGCGGCCTCCTCACTTCTGTGCTTACAGAACTACTTTGAGAGCTACCTTTCCATCGCTTCCACCGTGCCCTCCGTGCTGTGCCTCGCCGTGAACTTCCTGCTTGTCAACAGGTAGGCCACTTTCCTCCCTCTCAAGCCCAGCCTTCACTTCCAGCCTCTCCCACTTCCCTCTTGTCCGTGGCCGCTGCTTTTCTGCCTGCTCAAAGGGTAGCCACGGAAGTTGGAGGCAGGCAGCCCAGGGTCCCCCACGGAGACTCAGAAGTCACATCAGTGACCTGGGCCCCTGCCTATGGAATGCCCCATCAGAAAGCTGGACTTTCACTTTCCTGCCACACAGTGTGACCTAGTGTCAGCAGCCAGCAGGAGGCGCGTGGGGAAATGGCTCTTCTTCCCCCTTCCTCTGGAGAGAGAGAGCCTGTCTGTTAACAGCAGCCTGGGCTGTTAAGATCTGCAGCCCAGGGACACTGCCTGGAGGGTGGGGCTGGGAAGCAAGTCTTGTGGACCCTGCTCTTCCAAGCATTTCTGAGAGCAGTTTGAAGTGTGGAGCTGGCGTCCCTTAAGTCCGGCTCTGGCTGTGTGGGAACAGGCCACCTACCGGCTCAGTGCTCGGCCCGGAACACCAGCCCGGGTGTGGACTGCTCACAAAGAGTTCCGGGGGAACTCCTAACACCCTGTTAGTGAAGGGCTGGGAGGGAGCCTCCATCTAGGTGCACCGTGGGAGGAGGAATGATTTAGGAGACAGCTGGGCAAACTGGTATGGTCCTTAGATCCCACCGGGTGGCTCTCGGCATCCATTCTCAGTTTAGGTTTGTTTGCAAGAGCAACAGCCCTAGGAACTTTGCCTGCATTTCCCTAAGCTACCACTAGGAGAAAACAGTGGCTGTGTTGTAATTTAGAAGCCTAACTTGTTCACAGCCTCCTGAAACCTTAGATCGCTAATGAGGGATCTGTTTTATCTCACTTTGCTCAGTTTGTGGTGATTGTCTGGACTTCCGGTTGAACAGGAATCTGAGGCAAGTCTGGCCTTGGGGAGTGTGCTGTGATGGATTAGTGATGCCTTCTCTGAGTGTGGGAGAAGAGAGGGCAGCACACGTGGTTCGTGTGTGCTAAGCCCGCACAGACCTGTCTTTCCAAACATAGTATGCTGTGGGGCAGTCCCGTCACCTGCTGTTGTGTAAGAATCGTCCCAAAGCATAGCGGCTCCAACAATAGCAACAATTAGTATCTCTCATGGTTGTGGGCATCAGCAGGCTCAGGTGACAGCTTGACGTGGTGTCTCTGCTGTGGTTGCAGACAGCTGGGGCTGGAGCTGCTGGGCCTCCTCGGGGACCCCCTCCTCCCCTCCCCCTGTAGTCTCTTGCATGTAGTAGGACTTTTCATACTGTGGCTGAAGAACAAGTGCTCCAAGAGACAAGGCAGAAGCTGTGTGGTTTTTGTAACCTACTCTGCCATGACAGAGTGTCACTTCTGCTGTCATCGATAAGTCAAAGCAATCACAAAGTCTACTAGGTTTTAGGGGGACATAGACCCCCATCTCTCATTGGAAGGAACGTCAAAGAAGCTGTACCCATGTTAGAAGTAAAGTGCAGGCTGGAAGAGCAAGAAGGAGCAAGGTGCTCAGATGGCCTGAGTAACCTGCCTCCTCGTGCCGTGTCCCTGCACGTGGCGCTACATTCGGTGCCCGAGCAGGTGGGAGCCTCCAGAGACCCCAGCCCTGGAGGCGGTGGAGGAATGGAGCCAGGAGCAGAGCCAGAAGTGGGGTTCCCTCAGTACTGCCAGCCGCTGGAGGGCAGAGCTGGGTCCCCGGCAGTGACTTGAAAGAGAAGGCATGAGGAAAGGAAGGCAGTGGAGGAGGAAGAGGACAGGGAAGATGGGACAGACCCATGTGGGGAGTCCTTCGGCCACTCACTACCCTCTCTGCTGTCCAGGTCTCTCTCATGGTCCTGTGTGCCCACTCAGCCAGCCTGGGGACAGGGGTTTGTCCAGCTGGGCCAGCCTAGGCTCACATCAATGCGAGCGCCTGCCCCCTGCTTGATCTGGAGTCACTATCTGAACTCTAACAAGGGGGCGGTGCCTGGAGATCCCCTTGTTATATCACTGCGGATGCACAGGACCCAGGAGGGAGGCTGTGACTTACTGGCTTTCCAAGTGGAGGTCAGGAGATGTGCCCAAGACCACAGGGCCAGTGAGGAGTGGACCGACCTGGTGTCTTGCCTGGCACTGCCTCCTCTGTGGCTGTGAAGTCTGGAAGGTCGGGAGGGAACCATCCTGGGACTGGGGTCAGCAGTCGCAGGGAAGGTCTGCCCTAAGTCCCTGGGAGAATAATCTCTAATAAGAGCAGTGAGCGCTTCTGAGCACACATACCCTTTGGTAGCATTCCCTCCTTTGATCCCGAAGTAGCCTAGAACAGGAAACATATCCCCTTGTTTTACAGGTGGGAGAACAGGCTCACCGAGGGCCCATACGAGGGTGGAGCCAGGATTGGAATTGGGACCTTTCCTCACATCTGTGCTTGGAACCTCTGGGTCCCCTGCCTTCTAGTTTCCTGGATTTTCTGGCTTCAAGCTGCTGGAAGGAAGGAAGTGGTTAGAAAGGCCTGGGTCTGTCTGCACTGGGGACCCTGGGCTACCCAGGCAGCTGTCACCCTCTGTCCGCAACTTAGGCAGAGGGCTGGCTCTGAGGGCTCAGCCTTTCAGGCACCCTCCAGGAGTGTCCGGCCTACCTGGGGTCTGCCCTTGCCCTCCCCTGGCTACAGGAGAGAAGTGAGGCAGTGTGGGAAGTGCTCCCACACCTCTGGGAAGGTGGTTGGAGGCTAAGTGTTTCTGATTTAGCATGTGAGGTTGAAATGTCTTCTTTTCTCGCCTCCTGGAGAACCCTGGCTGGCTCTGACCAGCTCATCCATAATCGCCAAGTGTTTTATTATGTTCGATGTGCAGCATCATAAATACTTATGAGGAGGATTTCCATTCAGGAGACTTGCGAAGAAATCAGTTCCCTGGGGCCCTGAGCCCTCACAAGCAAGGTGGTACCCTGGGTACAGCTGGCAGTTCTCTCCAAGGATGTCATGTCACCGAGACCTGCCCAAGGTCGCCGGAGCAGTCATCCCACCTGCTGGCCTTCGTAAGCCTTTCCTGCTGTCCCAGAGGAGACCCTCTGCCCCAACTCCCCCCGCCCTCCACAGACACCACTGGGCGCTTGTGAAGACTTTCCCTAAAATACCAACAGCATCACTCCCTGGGCCACTTCCCCTGCCCAGGGTGGGAGAAACAGAGAGTGAAGCCAGCGAGCTCCCACTACTGCATGTGGGGCAGGCTTGAGCAGCAGGCACACGTCTTACAGCTTTATGAGCACTGAAAATAGCCCCAGGCTAGATCCTTGAGGGCCTGGGGCTTATGGATGAGGCTTGGAGGAGAATGGGTTGGGTAGCTGGTAATTAGCGGGCCAGGAGGAGACCTGTGCAGGTGAGGGGACTTAGGGAGAGGCAGAGGCAAAGGCAGCTTGCATTGCTGTTTAAACGTGGCATTGACTTCCTCATTCCTCACTCTTCCCACCACTCCCCACTCTTGGGTGCTGGATGAGAAGTCCCCCAGGTCTCTCCAGAGCAACTGTCCTGTGCAAGTGGTGACAGGCACAGGAAAGCTCTTGTGAGGCCGGCGGAATTCCTGAGATGGACTTTTCCTGCAGCGTCTGTGAGGAGGTGGTTAGAGGCAGCAGCTTTTCCCAAGGCTGGCCGGCTGCACTGCAGGTGCTCACAGCTGTCTCGCTGCCAGGCCGAGGGGCCAAGAGGCAGAGCGATGGGAGGTTCAGGCCCAAAGTGAAAGCTGCCCCTTACTGCTGACACCCTTGCTTGTCAATTTCTACGTCCAACAGGTGTTTACCAGATGCCTGCCAGGCCCCGTGCCAGCCCTGTGCTTGTGTAGCTCCTCGCACCTCCGTCTGTTGTATTTCTTCTTTTTGCTCCAAGGAACTGTGAAATCCTTTGGGCATTTGTCCCCAGCCTCTCTCTCCACTTGAATTTCTTCAGATTTAGAATCATCAGCTGGAAGGGACGTGAAAGTTATCTAGCCTCTTCTCTTTTGAGATGAGGACACTGAGGCTCAGAATGGTTGAGGGGTTGGTTACACAATGAGTTGGTGGCAGAGCTGGGCAGGGCTTCAGTCCCCTGACTGGGCTCTGTGTCCCTGCTGGCTCTTATTTGGGGGGTGGACAGGGCAGCTCCAGCTGCTGGGAGAGGGTGGGGGCATTGGGGACAGAGGTGAGTGTATGGAATCTCCGTGAGCATCCATACATAAGGCCTGACCAGTAGGCTCCGGGGCGCCTGTACGGTAGATACTCCAGGCCCCTGGGGGTGCAAGCGCTCCACCTGGCTGCCCACAAACTGCTGCCCAGGCCTAGACCCCTGCAGGCCCTGGGAAGATATGTCTTAGTGTGGGGTTCCCCAGAAACAGACCCTGGAACGAGGATTTTATTTAAAAAGTAGTTGACTTCGGAGGTGAAAGTAGAGAGGGGGAAGGGAGACCAGGCAGAGAAGGCAGTCAGTGAAGAACACCTTGTTCAGCCAGCTCCCCCAGGGGGTGACAAAGCTCGACCTGCCAGGGAAGCCTTGGGTGCTAGTGTGTGCTCCGGACAGTAGGCAGTTGGGGGTGTTTATCCACCACTTCCTGGGCATTGGTTGAAGTTTCCTCTTAGGAGGTGTTAATTACATGTCACTTGCAGCCTGCTTCCTAGTAAGAGGGAGGGCACCTGGGCAGGGCACCCTGAGCGTGCAGTTCCCCAGCTGGAAACCCTGATGTGCCTCTTTGTGTTCATTGGTGCTCTGGGTGACTACAGAGACCCCAGAAAGGATTTTCTCATTCTTCACCTGGAAAGTTAAAAGTAAGGCCTGCCTCTAGGCTCTGCCGGAGCTGGGCTTCTGCAGACCTGGGTTCTAGTCCCAGCTCATGGGGATTCACCCCATGACTTTGAACAATGCACCCCTCACTTCTTGGGCTTCCTTCTGCCCCTTGCAAAGCAGAGGCAGCACCTGCTCCCTTCCGTCGGATCAGAAGGAAACTCAAGTCAGCCTGGGGGCCACAAAAGCACTTTGAAAAAAAACCCTTTCTTGCTTTCCATGTTCATCATTTCACACCTATTTATGCACATATTTTTCTTCTACCTTTCAAGTATTTCTTTTTTTATCCAAAAAAAAAAAAATCGTGTATAACTAATCTGGCTTTTCTCCCAGCCCTCACCCACTGGTTAGAGGGAAAATTAACTTAATTTCCAATCCGGTTTAAAGCTTAGTCTAATCTGATGAATGAAAAAGCCTCTTTAGGTGATGTTCTCTCTCCCCAGAATAAAAATGCAGTTTCTCTGAGTGTTGGCCTTGCCTGCATCTCACTGAAGGGCAGCATATGGGTGGGCTGGGGCAGGGAGGAGTGTAGGGCTTACATTTGGGATGGGAAATGGGGCAAGGGGCTGGTCCTGAGCTGCCAGGCTTGGCATCAGCTGTTGCCCTTGACAACGGAGACCGTCACAGGAGAAGCCTTCCATCCTGGCCACTTGTCTGGACCTTCTTATTTCCTTTGTTCCAGGGGAGGCACTAGAGTGTCATTCTGAGAGCACAGTCTGCAGCCAGACCTCCTGGGTTCACGGCCAAATGATCTTGAGCAAGTTCCTTAGCTTCTCTGACCTGTGTCCTTACCTGTACATGTGGGATAGGTAAGAGTACCTATCTGTAGAGCCAGTATGCGAGTTATACATTAGCATATAGAAAACGCTTAGGAGAGTACCTAACACAAGTTAAGTACTGAGTGTTTGCTATGATGACAGTGATGCTGTTTTCTTCTTTCTCTCCACACTTGTGAGTTTTGTGGGATGGAAGCCCAGTGGGCGGTTGCTTGTTAAACACTAGACAGAGCCAGCAGGAGCTCAGCCCTGTGGCAAGAGGAGCTGGGGCTGGCCTCGAGAGCCCCCGTGTTCCGTCCTGAACCTCACCGCGAGACAAAAGGAAGCAGTATCTGCCGAGCATCTGCCCTGAGCCAGACCTGCTCTCTGCACTCTGCACATGCCCCTGCAGAGACCCTCACAACCACTCCTGCGGGTAGACCCATTCTCCCCCGTTGTCCAGAAACCGAGGCTAGAGCAATTGAGCCACTTGTCCAAGGCCACACAGCTAGTGAGCTGGAAAGGGCGGACTCAGACCCAGGCTTCCCGGCTGCAGGTGGACAGTCCCAGTCCCCGAGCTCCCCTGCTTCTCAGTTCACCAACCAGGCCTGGCATGGAGCCCCCAGGGGGTTTCTAACTGCTTCTGGCATCCTTTCCCAGAGTTGCGATTCATGTCCGTGTGCTGGCCTCGCTCGCTGTCATGCTGGCCATCTTCGTGGTGATGACCGCGCTGGTGAAGGTGGACACCTCCTCCTGGACCCGCAGCTTCTTTGCTGTCACCATTGCCTGCATGGCCATCCTCAGTGGCTCCTCCACCGTCTTCAACAGCAGCATCTTCGGCATGACTGGCTCCTTCCCTATGAGGAATTCCCAGGCGCTGATATCAGGTGAGAGCCGGGGGCCAAATAGCCGACCAGGTTAGTCCCCCAGGTGACATATGATGGAGCCAGAGGTGAGCATGTGACCGCCCTTCCAGAGAAGGAGAGGAGCGGTAGGTGTGTTTTCAGATATATTACTGTGTAGCAAAGCGCCCCAGAACTTAGTGACTTAGCAAAATAGCAGTCGTTTTTTCTGCTCACACATCTGCGATTTGGGCAGGAGCGGTGGGGACAGCTCTCCTCTGCTCTGAGAGGCGTCAACTGGTACAGCTCGACTGGGGCTGGGGAGCCTACTTCCGGGATGGCACGCTCGCCTGGCCTGCACGATGGTGCTGGCCGTTGGCTGGACGTTCAGCCAGGGCTGGGTCTGGGGCCAGGATTTCTCTCCACCTGGACCCCGCCATGGCTGCCCGGCTTCCCCGTGGCGTGGGCCGGGTCACGAGAGTGAGGATCCCAAGAGACCCAGGCAGAGCGTTACTTGCTTGTATGATTTACCATGTAGGATCACTTCCACCATAGCCATAAGCCCATCAGGACTTAAGAGAACACAGACCCACATTATCTCAGTGGGAGCTGAGCATAATGGAAATTATACTGTTGGGAGCAGGTGGGAGGGAGGACGGAGTTGCAGCCACCTTTGGAAAACATAGTCTGTCCCCCAAGTGCACTTCCTGAAGCAGCTCTCCTTTCTTTCCCTCCTCTTCTCGTGTCCTTCCCCCTCTTCCCCTTTTCTTCATTTTTCTATTTCCTTCCCTTCCCCTCCTTCCTTCCTCCATTCTATCTGTCCTTTCCTTCTTTCTGATTTTATAGAAGACCTGCTCTGTGCCGGGGATTTAATGATGACCAAGACTCAGGAGCTGCCAGCCTAGTGAATGAACTCCTGCGGCCCTGAACTTGGGCAACTTGGGTCAAGCCCTTTAGCTGAAATTTTGGTGCTGATCCTAAGCCTGTCGTTTAGCCCTTAGCAGTTCAGTTCTCTCACCAGGATGTTCCAACAAGATAAAAAGGAGCTGGGTCAATGAGAATCTGTGTGCTCTCTAGGGACCACCACCCCTTAAAGCAAGATGGGGCCTCAGTGGCTCTGTTCGGCATCTCCGCACGTCCCCGCTGGGTGAAGGGGTGCTGCGACCATTTGCTCACTTGAGAGGAATTTCACAAAGAATCTGCTGTGTGCTCATAATGAATCATGCCAGGTAGTGTGTGGCAGACATGATGACTACCTCGACAACTATGTGTCCCCTTCCCACTCCCACGCAGTGCTAAACATCCTAATCCGTCTGTGTCTTTCCTCCCGAGCCTCTAAATCCTTCTCAACACAGCAGTGTTAGATGTGGCCTCAAATCTAGTGTCATTTTCGGTATAGGATCAGGATTCTGGCTCCATCCCGGGAAACCCTTAGGCCTAAAAGAGAGTAAGAATGGGCCCAGTGCTAAGTTCCTGGAGTACAGTCAGTATGTCCCTAGCAGCGCCCCGAGAGGGACATGCCTAGGCTGAAGGCAATGGCCACCACGTGCCGGCTGTAATCCCTTCTGTCACCGAGTCTCGGAGAGAAGCCCTTGTCCCCTCATCTCTCTCCATCCTGCTGGGAGATATGTTTTACAGTACAATATCAGCCTCATTCATTACCTGTCAGGGGCCAGTGACCAAACAGACCCTTTTAGGTTGGCAAGGGGTCTTTCAAGTTCATCTGGCCACCTACGAATCTTCTAGAGAAGGGGGACACTCCCTGAACTATTCAGAAAGTCCATCTTTGAAAGTGTTGAAATCCAGTACTCAGACTTCTATGTTAATTCCCCTGGGCCCTGGGCCACTGTCATCACTGCGTGCAGCCCCACAGGGCACCTGTCACCCGGAGAGTCCCAGGTGTCCACTCTCCCAGAGGCCCCAGAGCCACCTCACCAGCCTGCGTTTTTCGTCCGGAAAAGGGAGCCAGCCCATCTGTGAATTCCGCCTGTGTTGGCATCTGAGGAACAATGCATCTGTTTGGTACTGGTGTTTTTTTACCCCCCTCATTTGCATGTATTTCCATAACTGATGAGATAAAAGTAGGGAGTCATGAAGGATGAGCTCCCCGAGGCCTGGTTTGTTGTTGATGATAATATTGTAAATTCTCTGCAAGTTGGGAAGAGGGAGAGGAAAATCAATAGGCAGTGATGTTAGATCTCTTCCTCGGGCAGGCGGCGAGTGTCTCACTGAGTTTAACCCCAGTTCTTACAAAACGCCCAGGTGCGGATTACAGCTTCTCAGAAGTTGGCAGCCTCTTGGCGAAGGGTTTACGCTGTTGTTGCTGCTTTGATGTAGAAGGGACAGAAATAGCCAAACACCTCATTGAGAATCTGAGGGGATTTGTAAGATCCTTCTCCGAGCCAGGTGCTCTTCTGAGCACCTCACACTAATCTTTATAACAGCCCTAAGAGGTGGGTCTTATTGACATCCCCATTGTAAAGATGAGGAAACGGGGCACAGAGAGGTTAAGCGACTCACTGAAGATCACACAGCCAGAAGTGGTGGAGCCACTCAGAGGATTGGACTCGATGTTCTGGTTCTTGAGTCCGTGCTCTCGATCACTATGCCAACTTGTATTTCTTTGCCTTCCTTCAAATCGCAGCCTGTGACTAGTAGAGTTCCTTTTGAGAAGGTTGGGGTCATCCACCAATGCCATGGGCTGCTCCCTGCAGAGCTGCGGAGATGCCAGGCAGAGTGCGGGTGAGGCAGCGACGATGGGCAGAATGGGGGACGAGGGCCAGAGCTGCGTGCCATGCCTCTCCCCCTTGGCGCAGCGTGGCGCCCCATCCGAGCTGCCCATTGAAACGACAAAGCACTTTGTGCCCACACGGAGCAGTTCACGGGTTGCCGTCTGCAGTCAGCACTTCTTGCTTCCTTGAGAATCGATATTCATTCATTCAGCCAGTCAATCCGACTTAGTCACCAGGCACTCACCGTGCTGATGCTAATGGTTGTGTCTGTGTTCAGAGCTTTTTCTATTCATTGCCCCACTTCCCCCTGAGTACGTCTCATGGGCCACAGGATGAGCATTAGCACCTTTTCCAGGCAAATAACAGAGGGAGGGATGGGTAAGTAACCACTCAGCTAACCTCTGACTCTGGGCCAGCAGAAGTCAATCACCCACAGTTAAGAGGGTTCAGCAGAAAAGGGGACACTTCCTTCTCCCCAAACAGCTGAGTGTCTGTGGCAAAGGGGGCAGCCAGTGTTTGTTGAAAGTCCGCTCTGTGCCGGGCCCTTTCCAATCGCCCTGTCGCTCAGTCCACAGAGCAGTCAGGTAAGGCAGGCGCTGTTACCCCTGTGTCACAGAGGAGCAGGCTGTGGTTCCAAGGTGTCATGTTAGCAGCCAGGGCACAGTGAGCAAGGGGCAGAGTCAAGGTCAGACGTACATCGTTTTGGATCCTGGGCCCCTGGGTCCACTAGGGTTTTGCTGCGTCCTGTGCTAGGTAGCAGTGAAAGGTGGGGTGCCACGTAGCCACATGGGTGCCAGGTCAAAGCCTGGCAAGGTGGAACAGTTGCATGTGAGTGAGTGTGAGTAAGAGTGTGACAGTGTATGTGAGTATATGTGTGACTGGGAATGTGTGTTACTGTGTGTATATGGGCATATGTAAATGTGTGTGAGTATATGTACATGTGATAAAGTGTGCAAGTGAGGGTACGTCTGTGTGTGATGGGATGTGTGTGAATGTGTGTGCACGTACCCATGTGCTCACACATGGGTGGTGCCACAGTGGCCGTGGGGCACGAGGGATGTTCTGTGAGTGCACGGGCAGGTGGCACGGGGCCTGTAACCAGCAAGGACTGCCCAGACCGGCTGGCCTGGCTCGGAGGCAGCTGCGGAGCCTGTGCCAAGACGCCCTGAGCCTCCTTCCCAGTTTGGTGGGTGATGGTGTGAGCCAAAGAGGAGTCCTCCGAGATGTCTGGCCCCGAATCTAAAATGTCTGACCTCACCAGCGGGGCAATAAGGAGAGAAGGGTCAGAGGTGAAACCAGAAAACAGGCAAAACCTTGGAGGCCACTTGCCCCCTCAGACAGCAGCCTCTTACAAGCCCGTCAGAGAGCTCCTGGGCCTGGGCCATGGGAACCGATACCCTGTCAGTCAGAGCGTTCGGGGCTGCAGAAGCCCTCCCTGTCCGCCGAGGGTCCAGGACCCTCTGAGAACAGCAGCGTGCTCACGAGAAGAAACTTTGTTTTGGTTCTATTAACCTTGGGCAGAGAGGAGGCGGACCCCCTCACCCTCCTTGGTGTCCTGTGTCCCCTGCAGGAGGAGCCATGGGCGGCACCATCAGCGCCGTGGCCTCCCTGGTGGACCTGGCGCTGTCCAATGACGTGACAGAGAGCACCCTGGCCTTCTTCCTGACTGCGGACGTCTTCCTCAGCCTCTGCATCGGGCTCTACCTGCTGCTGCCGAGGCTGGAGTACGCCAGGTGAGGCCCCGCCTCTCACCCTCAGTCCCTTCTTCTCCGTGGTTGTATCTTCTTATTATTCACAGGCATCGCCATCTAAGTAGGTGGCGTGTCTGTTTCCTTGTTTACTGCTACCTCCCCGCTGGGGCGTGAGCTCCCTGAGGCAGAAATTGTGTAGGGTTGTTCACTGCTGTGTCCTGGTGCCTCGAGCTGCACTGGCCTTATAGTAGTTGCTCAGGTTATTATTACAGTGTTTTTCCATTTTATAGATGAGGAAACTGAGGCTTCGCAGGGTAACAGACATGCTCAGGTTGCTCACCTGGTGAGCTGCAGGCAGGGATTCGAACCGAAGCTGTTTCTGGAGCGGCGCTCTTCCCACTGCATCATGTCGTAGCTCTGGCTCGTGACTCCGAGGGTCTGTCCTCATCTCATCATCCGTTCCTCCTGTCCCTGTGAGACGCCGTCTTGCTAACCACCTGGACCCCAACTCTACCAGGGCAGTTCGAGGATTGTTGTAACCAGGCTGGCCTCAGCGGCCCCAGGAAGAAAGAGGGGCCCTGAGCAACTTGACACTGCGACCCCGGGTGCCTGCAGACCCGCGAGCTTGCCCGTGCCCTCCTCTGCTCCCTCAAGGCCACCGTCAGAAATCGCCCAGTTGGGCTTCACGCCGACGTCCCTGTGAATCCTGGGTTCTGTCTGGCTCACCGTCCCCACCAGCACCCCGTACGCTACCTGGCCCTTTGTCACTGCTGGTGAAATTATTTTGAGCCACTGACTGAACAGAGGGCAGGAGGTTTCTGCCACACCTTCCACTGTTCCTCGTCCTGTTCCCCGCCCTGTTTTCCATGTGGTTTGCGTGGGTCTGTTTGCAGTGGGGTGGCCAGCCTTGCATGGGGTGTTCTGTTTGGGGCCCAAGGTGCTCTTGGGATGAGGGGCTTTCAGTGCTAAAACCAGGACAGTCTCAGGCAAACTGGAACAGATGGGCACCCTGGATTTTAGTCTCACTTGAACAGGCCCAAATCCTTCCTTCCCCACTGAGCATGCGAGAGAGCGAACACCCAGAGCTGTGCTGTCCCGTGGAAGCTTCTGTGTTTTGCTGATTAACACTTTGGTCAAGACTTGGTTTGATAGCAAGTCAGCTGAGGATGGAGCTTTAGAGGGAGCTGTGCTCCTGGGGCTACTCAGACTAAATCTTCCTTAAAAGGGATAGTTGGAGCTCTGGCTGGTGTAGCTCAGTGGATTGAGCACAGGCTGTGAACCAAAGGGTCACCAGTTCGATTCCCAGTCAGGGCACATGTCTGGGTTGTAAGCCAGGTCCCAAATAGGGGGCATGTAAGAGGCAACCACACATTGATGTTTCTCTCCCTCTCTCCCTCTCTTTCTCCTTCCATTCTCCTCTGTCTAAAAATGAAAGAAAGAAAGACAGTTGGAACATTGTCTCATACACCAAAAAGTTGAGGGTTTGATCCCTACTTGGGTGTGTACAGCAGGCAACCAGTCAATGTTTCTCTCTCACATTGATGTCTGTCTGTCTCTCTCCTACCCCCCCACCCTGCTAAAATCAATGACAGTATCCTCAAGTGAGGAGTAAAAGAAAAAAGGGAGCCCATGGGTGTTGTACCAGGAGGGCTGGGCTGCCCCACCCACCCGAGGGAATCGGGAACTTGGCCTCATGCAGTGCTGGGGCCTGGTGACCTTGATAGGGTGAGACGAGCCAGTTATATTTGGAAGAGCTTATGAGGAAGAGCTTCAACCAGAGGAACTTGGTAGGAAGCTCCCTCAGAGCAAACTTAAGACAAGGGCCTGCCACTGAGGAGAGGGAGAAGTAAGAATATTTCTTTCCCTAAGAGTGATTGTGAAACACTGCAGGGTTCAAGTCCAAAGTGCCCTGCTCAGCATCACGTGGAGATGTGGTTCTGGGGAGGAATCCTCCCACCAACCACTTGTTATCTGTAGGTTCTTAGGATGGAAAGACTGACAGGGTTCTCAAAAGCTCATGGCTGCAGAACCCCTCATTTTGCAGAGGAGGAAACTGAGGCCCAAAAAGAAGAATACCTGGCGTAAGGTCCTATGGGGAGGTGAGGGGGACTGAAGTCAGAACCCAGCCATCACCACGCCGCTGTTCTCCCATGCCCATACCAAGCCTCCTGTTTGAGGTACCTTAACACAGTTAGCCCATGTCTCCTGGTTTTCAGACACCTGAGGCCCAGAGAGGTTCAGTGACTCAGACAAGGTCACACAGCAAGGCAATGTGACCCATGCCTTTTCTTTGATCAGAGTGGCAGAAATTGAAAAGATTGATAATATTCAATATGGAGGATATGGGGAAAAGACCCTTTTATAGGCTTATTGGTTCTTTCAAAAATTATGTTTTGGAGGCTATTTTGTGCCTGAGGATTTAGCTGGAAAGAGTCAAATGTGCTTCTTGTCCCAGGGAGTTGTCTTTTATTAAAGGAGACAGAAGATACGCTAGTAAACTAACACGGCGATTATAAGTTGTTGTCAGCTTTTTGAAAGAAATAAATAGGTGCTCTCATAGAGATTAAAAGGGTAGGGTCGGTGGGTCAAACAGAGTAGAGACATACTAGTCCTGCCTGTTTGGAGAGCAAGTCATCAATGTCAATCAAAATTTTAAAGGTACAAAGCTTTTTTAAAAGAAAAAAGTCTTCACCTGAGGATGCGCTTACTGATTCTATCGGTTGCTTCTCATATGCACCCTGAGTGGGGACCAAACCCCCAACCCAGGTGTGTTCCCTGACTGGGACTCGAACCCATGACCTTTTGGTTTATGAGATGACACTCCAAACAACTGAGCCACATCAGCCAAGGCAAAAGGTAGCCACTCTCTGATCCAGGAGTCGCCTCCTAGAAGTCTGCCCTACTAAACTACTCCTACGTGCATGCAAGGATGTGTGTGTAGGGATATTCACTGCGCCTGTATTTGTAGTAGAGACAAACTGGAGCTGATGTACACATCCACCAAGAGGGGAGCAGTCTGTTCCTTCAGTGAAAAACTAGGCAGCAATGCAACAGAGACGTGGGGAAGGATGGCCACACAGTGTTCTCTGGACAATTACATGTACCCATTTATGTATAATAGTTATGAATGTATTTGGGCAGGTGTGTGGTGTGTTTATATATTAGTTACATATTTAGGAGCTACACTGTTGTAGAAAGATTTACGATATGTATGTCTGATGCTACTTTTGCTTAAGAACATAACCGTGGGGAGGTACAGGGTGTGTGCGCATGAGTGGAACAGTATACTCGAGGTTTTTAATGATCAGTGCCTCTGAGGAGAGAGACCAGAGGGGAGAGGTCTCCTACTGCATCATTTCTCTTCAGTGTTATTTGGGTTCATTGCACCAAGTGTGTATTACTTACACAATTTAAAAAATTTGCATTTTTAAATGCTATTTTATATCTTCCCCTCTCCCCCAAAACAAAACAATAAGCAAGTGAGATCAGACTGGAGTGCAGGTTCACCATGTCATCCATGGTCAGAGTTGGTTTCCCCTGACCCTTCTCAGGGCACAGCCACCACTACAGAATGGCGGTTGGCTGGGCAGAGCCCGGCCTTTCGGCCAGTACCAGGACAGACAGGTCAGGGACTGTGCCAGCTTCCCCCTGGCCACCCTGTAGCATGTGTACCATCTGAGAGTCTTCTGGGGCTGCAGGCCATCAGGGGCTTGGGCTTTCCACGCTCAGCCTAAAGGTGCCCCCATCCCTAGAAATCCTCCTGGGGCGCTCTGACCTTGTGCCTGTCTCCCCACAGGTACTACCTGAGGCCCGTGAGGCCGCCCCGCGTGTTTTCTGGTGAAGAACCGCCGCCCCAGGACTCCTCCGGTGACCCTTCGGTGGCTCCCAGATCCAGCACCTGCCCAACGCCACCCCTCCGCCCCATCCTAAAGAGGACAGCAGGCCTGGGCTTCTGTGTCATCTACCTCTTCTTCATCTCCAGCATCATCTTCCCCGCCATCTCCACCAACATTGAGTCCCTCGACAAGGACTCGGGCTCACCGTGGACCACCAAGTTCTTCATCCCCATTACTGCCTTCCTCCTGTTCAACTTTGCTGACCTGTGTGGCCGGCAGATCACAGCCTGGGTCCAGGTGCCGGGGCCCAGAAGTAAGGTGCTCCCTGCACTCGTGCTGCTCCGGACCGGCCTTGTCCCCCTCTTCATGTTCTGCAACTTCCAGCCCCGTGTCCACCTGCAGACGGTCTTCCCATCTGACATCTACCCAGTGGTATTCAGCTCCCTACTGGGGCTCAGCAATGGCTACCTCAGCACCCTGGCCCTCATCTACGGACCTAAGATTGTGTCCAGGGAGCTGGCCGAGGCCACAGGGGTGGTGATGTCTTTTTACATGTACGTGGGCTTGGTACTCGGCTCAGCCTGCTCTGCCCTGCTTGTGCATCTCATCTAGAAGGGGTGGGTGGCAAGAGAGTTGGTGCAAGCTCGGTGAGAGGGGCAGGACCTGCCGGGAGGGCTCAGGGGATGCACAGAGAGATATGGAGTTGGCCTCAGCGCAGAGGGCCGAGCACACCTGGGCCTCGTCTCCCCAGGGAGCTGGGGACACGAACTGCCTCCCTGCCAGGCAGAGATGTTCCAGACACTTCAACGGCACACTGCTGAGACTCTTCTCCAAGAGACACCTGAATAAGCCACAGTTACACAGGCACAAAGCGGGGTGTCACTATCCTAGTGGATGGTTACATCCTGCCTTTCTTTACAGCCTTCTGGGGGCTGTGTTGCCAGTGTTTGGCTCAGGTAAGTGCCAAAACCCAGCCTTGCTCCTTCCAGCCGACAGCAGGATGTGAGTCCTCAGCTCTCCCTAACCAGAGGGTCCCCCCCCCCCCGAAAAGAAGTCCCTGTGGGATGGTGCGCCGCCAGGGCCAGGACCCAAGCTTGTGCAGACCGTCCTTCCGGGGGTGAGAGGACACGCACCAACCACACTGGAACACCAGGAAGACAGGTCTTCCGGGAACCTTCCTTCCTGAAACCTGGGCTCCGAAGGTCTCCTGTACCAGAGTGTCAGGCCTGGGTTTTCAAATAGGGCTCTTTAAAGTGGTCCTTGGTCTGGGTCAGGGCTGCGTCTTTTAATGTTTACAACATGGTCACTGGTCCAAGGGCATAGTAAATTCCTGGGCATTTAATGAAGTCTGTGTTGGGGTCTTGGCAGGAAAGAATACTCAGAATGGGTAACGTGAAGGTATTTGAAGAGTGAGTGTAGGACGCCGAGGGGGTTCCTCCAACCTGCTCTGACCTGTCAGAGGTGAATTTCCTTCTCCCTCCTGTCTCTTTCGGTTTCCTCCGTGTCTGTGGCCTGCACCACCGCCGAGGAGCAGGCACAGGTGACGGAAAGTGGGTGGAGGGGCAGAAGGTATTTGGCTCAGGGCCTCATCCAGGGTGGGGCCGCCATTCCCTCCACTTCCACAGTTTATTTGTTGTTGAGATTAGTAGATTGCTGGAGCTTTGGTCAGCAGAATGCTGCTTTGTCCCGAGTAACTGTCTCTTTTGAAGTTGTTTCAAAAGGTGACCCTCAGGCTCTGTGGCCCCAGGTTTGCTCAGATCCCTGAAGGCTGTTCCTTGGGGAAGCAGCCTGGCTTGGCAATCAGAGAAAGGAACAGGTCACAGACCAGGAGTTCTTGCTCAAGCCTCGTGCAGAAAGAACAGAGCTTGTCCCCAAGAAGTGGCAACCCTAGAGCCATAAACGAACCTCCTCTGAAGCACACCAGCCCTGTGAGGTCCCACAGCCAAGTAGACCCGGGTGCGGTCGGCCAGCCATCCATCGGGGGCAGCAGCTTACACACCCCACCTCCTCAGGCTGGTGCACACGCCCCCTTCTTGGGCCAGAGAATTAAAGAGGACACTCTTGAAACTTGATACTTAAAAAAATATATTAAAAAGCATTTTAAAATAAGTCCTTCCCTCTCCCCTCCACTTGCAGGAGCCTGACACCCCCCCCTCAAAATTTTCACCAACTTGAATGCCATTGATCACTTGGGGCATTCCTCTGGCTAGTGACTTACTTCAGCGTCAGGCGCTTTCCAAGTGGGCAGTGTGTCTGCATTAACGTAAAGCAGCAGGTCTCCGAGTCAGAGACGTGGACCACCCTGGAACAAACAGAGAAGGAACGAACAGCAGGGGTCTCACATGCCTTGTTAAAGGGGGAGAGCTTTCAGAAGTAGAGGAGATGTCTGCTAATGAAATGATTGGAAATTAGTGTGGAGGGCAGGGAAGAGGGTGGTGAGCATGGAGGCGCGGCGCTGAGGTGACCGGACGGTAGCAGTGCCCCTGCCCTGGGGGGAGGGCTGCGGTGCCCTTCCAGGGCCCAGCTGCTTGGTTGGAGGGAGGGTTCTCCAGGCGTCTGCCCACTGCGCTTTGCTGCTCATCTTAGTGCGCTTTCACAAAGGGGCCTTCCTTCCCTGGGAGCAGGGAAGAAAAATAAAACTACATCTCCAGGCAGAGAGCAGGAGGTGGAGCTCAGGCGTCCTTGTCCCCCAGGCCCTGTCATAGCCGCTCCTGGGGCTTGGCCGCTGTGGGTCTCAAGCCTCATGTGACCCAGGCAGGCTCGTGGAACTAGCTCACGTGTTCTGGGGAGCGAACAAAACTTGCTAAAGAGGATTTTCCAGTGAGAGAAGTGGGCAGGATGTGTGCGTGGGTGGTGGCGGGGGTTCCCTGTAAAGTTGCCTTTGTCTCTTCTCCCATTCAATCCAAGTGGCAGTTTTTAGTGCATACCCTTGTGTATTTCCAGACAGTACTTGTAAAGCAAATGCCAGTTCCTATGTGAATGGGCACAGGATGGGACTTGAGCCAGGCGCAGATGTTATTTGTAACGACCCTTCATTCTGCCAGCTTCGACCCAGGGCTCCCCGGAGAAGATCTGGGGCATCCTAATCTATCAGCTTGGATGTGATGAAGGAGGAGGTCCCTGCAGGGAAGCCTCCAGTCCCCAGGCTTCCGAGGCTGTGTAATGCTTTTATAGAGAACTCCAAGCAGCGGACATTAATCGAAGGCCCAGTGCTCATCTCAACTTTGTGGGCTTTCTGGGTGAAAAGGTCTAGTATCCGTTTCTCTATTATCACTTCCGTGCTGGCAGCACTGTCGGCGCTCGTTTTGCCCACGACAGTCACTGCTGCCCTCCCCCAACTGACTGGGGTTGGTCTGGTTCCACATCCAGCTTAGACCCCAGCAGGATCCCAGAAGGAATTTCAGCCCCACCAGCAGGTGGAGGCAGGGACCAGTCACGTGGCCACCGGCGCAGGGTCCAGCGCAGCCTGTCCACAGCTGCCCAGGTGCCTGCCCAGTGCCACCCTATGACAGGTGCTTTACCTGCATGATTTCCCCTACCTGTTGACGAGCGCAGTGGGGCTCAGAGAGGCCAAGTAACTTCCCTAAGGTCACTTGGCTCCTCAGTGCCACAGAACAGTCCAACCTGATCTTCCTAAACTCCTAAGTCCTCACCCACCCTGCTCTCTTACTCCCCCAGTTGAGCTCTGACTCTTCTTGGTTCTCGACACCCATTGTTGCTATGCCTCACTCCGTGGCCTGCCTAGACTCTTGCCGAGAAAATGTCTTGCCCAGAACTCTCACACTGGCTCTGGCCTGGTCTGATCGGTGCAGCTGGCCAGACCCCTTGCTGGACTGACCCCCATGAGTCCTGACCCAGGGCCCACGTCAGGCCCACTCGCACCGCTTCTTGGGCATAGGGTCTCGGGCCGCTTCAGGGCCTTGCCCTCCTGATCCCACACCAGCCCCGGCTGCTGAGGTTGTTTAGCATGGCCGCTGCCACTGGACTTGTCTTAGGACATGGAGTTGTGAGACACAGAACAGTCTGGGGTACGGAAGCCTTGTTCCCAGACCCACCCGGCACCAGCTGTGTGAGTCACGTGGCCTTCATGAGCATCTGAAAAGGGCATGACAAAAAGTCCTGACATTGTGACTGCTGGGCCACTGAGCCAGCCTGCCACACCCAGTGACGCCCACTGCCCAGGCCATACAGGCAAAGCTGCCCCAGGGCTCACAGCCATTGTAGCAGGGTGACTCAAGGGCACAGGGCACCCTCTGCTGTCACCCATGTGTCTGCCACTTGGGTGGTGTGAAGGCAGCATCAGCCTGAGAGGAGGACTTCAACTTCAGGCTGCAGTGGACTTGACCCCAAAGAATAGCAATGAAGATGGCCATGGTTTCTGCCCAATGAGGCTCCAGCCAGCTGACCCACCAGCTCTGTGCACTCCACTGAGAAGTGCCCTTGACTGGAAGTTAGAGGGAAGTCCAGACTTGCAGCGTGAGGTTGAGAAGTAGACAGCCATAGGTTGCAGGTGCCCAGACCGAGACTGGAATTCTGGTTCTGCCCCCTCCTAGCTGGGTCACTTTGGCCAGTCTTACTGACACTCTCATTTTAAAAATGAATGTCCTCTCAGGCCTGTTGTAAGGATTCAACAAGCCCCGATATTGTCTATACAAGTACCTGGCATGTAGCAGACCCTTAACAAATGTGTTCTCCCACCTGGGCAGTCCCGCACTGCCCAGCTCCTTCCCTGTGGCAGGCTGTAGCCTGCTCCCAGCACTTGGTACCCACCTCTTTCCTGACCCCAGGCCCAGTGTCTGTCTGGGCCAGCACCTCCAGTTCTGATGCCTGCTCTTTGATGCCCCGGCCCCTGCCTGGATCCTGCCCAGACACACCTGACCTAGGGCAGATGCATGGGGCAGAAAGCTGGAAATCCAAGACCCCACGCCAAGCTCTGTCCCTAACTTTGACCTCTGGACAAGCCACTTTTTTCTAAGCCTCAGCAGGAAAAAATGGATGCCCCGATACCCATGCTGCCTTTATCATGAGCATGTGACCAGGCTCACAGAGCCCCTCGTGTCCCACAGTGGTTCCTAGAGTCTGCCCTCCAGAGCCACACAGCCTGGGTTTGAACTCTCACCACTTCTGGCTACATGACCGCAGGCAAGTTCAACCCGACTCTTTCCTCATCTGACCATGGGGCACCAGGCTTGGGGCTGGTTGTGTACACTGAATGATGCAGTGGGGATGCATAGAACACATTTAGAATTGAGCCCGGTGTGCACTCCGTGCTAATCACCAGCTCCTAGAAGGCTGTAAGTTCAGACCCCACTTGGGAGAACCACCGTGCTAGCTCACCAAGGACTGACCAGGGCTTGTCAGGGGCTCGCATCTGGCCCAGGGAGAGAAACTAATGCTTCGAAATCTTCAAAGGTCAGGGTCCGGCCCAAGTAATACTCTTATTACAAAATCATAAGCATGTAATTCTGTAACATAACAATGTCACACTCAAGCACACCATATGACATTTTAGGTGAAATGTTCAAATTAAAACTATAAATTATTACACCCATATTATTACCCTACCAACCACACTCCAGCAGGCCTTACTTCTGCTGGACCCTGTAGTTAATGCATTGTGGACGCTCATTCACTGTTCTCAAAAATGTTCACAGGTTCAAGGTAGAGCTTTTGCATTTTAAGCACCAAGCTCATCTTCTGCACCAGCCCCCAAGGTAAGGCACCCAGTGGCTTTACTCCTCAATTCCATCTCTACCATCTGCTCCTTTCACCATAAATATCCAGGAGGGAGGTGAGAAGGGCAGAGGGGACCAGGTGAGAAGGGGTAAGGCCCCAGGGCAAGTTAGCCCCAGCCCACGCTTTGGAGCTCACGAGGTGGAAGTTGCAGTCTCCCTCCCTCCCAGGCATTCGTCATTGGGGTGCAGCAGGGTGGGGGTGCAGGGTTGCCTTCTGCTAGGGGCCGGGGCCCGCCATCTACCTGTTTTCTGGAGCTCATTGGCTGCTGAGGTGGTGGCAACTGGTTTTCATTTTGCTGAGATTCAAAACGGGAAACGAGCCATTACCAAACTGCAACCCTTTTTGAAACAAAAACTGAAATTGCATTTTCTAATCACATTCTGAGAGCAAAGAATGCAGAAGTCTGGCCTTGCTGTATCAGAGTTGTCTCCCAGAGGCCTGTCTGTGCCTTGCCTTTTGCTCACAAAGCTATGTGGAAAGGGGACGGGAGAAGTCAAATGTCAAAATGTGCCACACCAGTTAGTGCCACTCCAGCTGGTATTCAGTGGCTAGCCCATGGTCTCGTGAGGGTGCCAGGAAATTTCCCTTTCCTTGTTTTTTTGCTGCTCAAAACCCACAGGCTCTTCCCTGTTGGGTAAGGACTAGTCACCTCAATTCTAGGAATAAGGGTGAACTAGAGTACAGGTCTTACAGTTGGGGGGCTTTGGGAAAATTGCTAACCTCTCTGAGCCTCAATGTCCTCACCTGGGAACTGCAAAAGGCACACAAGGTATTAGCTCTTGTTATTAAACTACCCATAGATCCACTGGTACCTTGGACCACAGGGCAAGGAGTCTGTAGGACCAAGAGGGTGTGCCAGCCTGGCGCTCATACCTCTTCCCCTTTCTGGACCATGCTCTGGGTACTTGGGACTCCTGAATCTGTCGCCTAAATGGGCTGAAACCTGCAACTCAGGCCTGAGCAGGCTCTTTCCTAGGTCCATCCCCCAAGGGCACTTCCAGGCTCATATTCACAAGTCATGCGGAGTTGGGCCGTATGCATTGGGCTACCTACATTAGTGCAGAGGAACTCTCTCCAGATGTGGGACTGAGCCATCACGTTCCAGAGAAGGACTCTTAAGTCAGAAGATTCCAGATTCAAACCTGACCTGTTGGGTTGTTAGAAAGGCATATGAAGAAGGAAGAACATATTTATTTTATAGCATATATGGAAACATGGTGTATGTGCCTCCATTTATACTCTTATCCTGGACCTGCAAATGCTCCTTTCTATTACTAGCCGTTTGAATTCCACTTCCTTTGAGTCGCAGGTCTTATTTTCCCCTCTATCTGTGTCTCTTTTCCTACTTCCTCTCCTCTGTCTTCCTAAATATTCAAAGCTGTGCAGTATTTGGAGATGTACCCAGGATTAGCAGAAATTTGTAGAGATTTCAGGGCCCCCCTTTCTTCTCTTCCTTAAACCATTTCTCTTCCACTAGAGGCACACAGGGACAGATCACGGGCAGAGACTGGTTGACAGCTGGCCTCCTTTGCCTCCTCAGCCGTTCCCAAATGGTGCTGCTCTAGGGTAAGAAGATGGAGCTTCATGTTGCTGCCACCATGGTCACCCCTGAGCTGTGTGGACTAGATGACACTAAGGAAAGCCACGGGCTCCATCCTGAGGTGTAGGAAAGGCCCTGGATGCCTCAGTGTGTGTGCAGGGGGCAGCTATTGGAAGGGTGGTGTTGCTTGGACCCCCATCCTGGATGGGCGCAAGGTCCTCAGCTGGCAGAGGGGAAAGTGAGTTGGTGAGAGGTGGACACCAACTTCATTTCATGAGTCCAGGCCCTTTTGGGTTCTCTTCTCTCCCCAGACTTGCTGCCAATGGTGTCATCATCCACATTTTGCCCCACATAAAACCCTTTCCTGATGTCCCCTTATTCAGATATACTATGGCAGTGCAGAGACTCCGAAATGGAAGAGGGGTTGCTGCCTCTGTGAGCTAAGCCTCCCTCGTCCCAGAAGCAGGGCAGGAAGAGCTACCCTGTCCCACTTGCCTCCTGCAGTCCTGGGAGGTCTGGGGTGGTGGCAGCAGAGGTTGAATGTTGAATAGCCTTTGGGCACATCAAGTTCTGCTGAACTTTTCTTCTCACCTGTGCCTGGAGTAGCTGTATATAGAGAAGGAAGGTATGAGGGGAAAGGTGCACCCACTTGGGGGTGCCTCCTGCTCCCCACCTGCCCCACAGAGCCTAAGAATCAGAACAAACACAGGACATTAGATGATGACTCGGACTGTCTCAGCCACTGTTTCTCTGAAGATTGAAAGTGAATTGCTGGTACTTTGCTGATGCCTAGGTGCCACAGGCCAGGGCAGAAAGCTCCACAAAATCTCAGCATGTGGAAGTTCTTCCCTTTTCAGCTCTTTCAGTCCTGAGTACCTACAGGAGAAACTTTCAATTTAGTACTTGAGTGTCTTCTACAGTTTTTTAAAAGTTGCTATTATCCCTTTTTAACAAAATGAGGACAGGCCGCAGGTCAAGGTCTTGCCTGCTAGACTCGAGAAGAATTTTTTATTTTTATTTGTGTTTCTCTCTATGGTTTCTTGCCTTCTATTTATGACAGGTGATATTGGTTTTCCATTAATGATACACAGTTTGCCTTTTACAGTAAATGTAAGTAAAGCAACTGAGAGAAAATGACAAAGATACAGGTGGCACATGAATATAGCAAATGCCATTCAGGTTTCTCAATTTAGACCCAGGGAGACAGACCCAGGCAGGACCCCAGGCCCCAGAGTGAGAGAGCACCTCTGACATGTAGGAAGAACACACATCTACCTGAGCCAAAAACTAGACTGTTCTGCTCTGGAGGCCCAGGGCTTGATAAGGCCCCTTTTAACTTCAGGCTCCATTAACACTATCGTGGCTGGTGCTTTCACTGTTTTTATTTTGGCCAATAAATGTGAGAACTTATGAAGTTATTCTTTGTTCCATTTAAACTCCAGCACAAACCAGGCCATTATCAGAGGCAAAAGCCTTCAGCCCTGGAGCTAGCAAGAACTAGCAGAGAGGAGAGGAAAGGGTAAAATAGAAGCAGAGACAAGGAGGAAGTAGAAGACACAGCAGCTTCAACATTTTTAAGGACATGAAAATCTGGAATGGGCGGTTAGGTCTCTGACTGAGCCTGTCCAAAGTGGACAAAGCGGTCTGTCTCTGGCAAACCCCTCTTCAATGCAGACATTACTATCACTTGTAACCGAGGCTCTGATTTGCTCACTAACCTTGTCTGAGTGCTTAGTAGGTGTCTGGCCCTTGGCCATGACTTGACATCCTCTCATCACTTCTCACCAAGAAGCCTCTAGGATAAAACCTTGTTTTCTGGAGTTGTACAGCCTGGGGTTGGAAATCTGGCCCTATGTAGAGCTACGTGATTTAAGGTAAATTGAATCCCTCCCTGAGCCTCAGTTTCCGCATCTGTCCAAAATGGGGAGAGTTTCTTAGGATCAGAAAGCTTCTATAATAGAATGCTTACCAAGAGTAAAAAGTGAACAGTCGATAATAATGTTACTTAGTATTAATCACTATTGCTGTTATCAGCACCAGGAAGGCAAGGAAGTTTCTGGAGGTCATTCTACCCAAGGTTACTGAGCTGACTGGTGGGGTAGATGCAGGTGTGTTTGGACCTCCCGGCCTCGGGGCCCAGAGCTAGGGCTGCGCGACAGGGGCTGTTGGAGGGAGACTCAGGCCGCCGGGGGGCGGGGTGGGGGAGCGCCAAGCTGTCTCCGGAACTCAGCCACGTCTTGGGGCTCCTACTGGACGGGCACTCACACTGCTATGACAGGACCGGCGAGATGAGGCGGATGCTCAGCCCCGCGAGGCCATCCAGCCCAGTGACCCGCTGCAAGGCCGGGTCTGTGGCGCTCAACTCGGCCGTAAACCTCTGCGGGCACTACTTCTTTGTCCACTCGGACCTTTCTGGAGCTGCATCCACCACCTACGGCGAAACAGGTGGCCGAGCACAGCTTCCGGCAGCCGCAGGCTATGCTGGGAAACGGGCCTCACAGCCAATCCCCACCCGGGGGAGGGCAGTGGTTGCCCAGCAACGGGGCCAAGGGCAAAGCGAGGGGGCGGAGCCTGTAGAAGCAGCATTGTGAGAGGACGTGCCAATCCTGGAGAAAGCTGCCTTTTCTGGTCTCCAGTTTCATCACTGCTACCTGAACTTGGAGGGAAGAGAAGATCATAAGGCAAATGATAAAAAAAAAATAGGAATAAGCCATGGGAACTAGTAATAAAAAAGATATTCATGTTATTGAGCACTTACTGTGGGCCTGCTCTTAACAGGGATTATTGTTTTTCATTTGATCTTGTAGGGAAAGTATGATTACTGTCCCGATTTTGTGCATTATTAAACGGAAGTTTAGATAGACGAGACTCCTTGCCCGCAGTAACTCAGCTAGAGAGTAGCAGAGCTGGAATTGGAATCTAGGTGGTTTGTGTTCCTAATGAGCCAGGTGGTGGATGGTCATCTCAACTCGGTAAACATGTGTCTGTGTTTCTGCTAGGCCCACCTACAAGGGCCAATCCAACCTTTATGGAGAATGAAGCTTAGACAAGTTGGAGGAGCCCTTTGGAGGAGAACGAACAACAAATTGCAAATTTAAAAGTAGGCACAAAAAGAATACTTGAGTAGAATGTAAAAAGAAATAACCAGAAAGTACTTTTGCTAATTTTACAAAACATATCACTACGTAAACACAAAAGCATCCTTGACCTTCAGCTCCCATTAAAGCCCTTCAATCAGACATCAAACTACCTTGCACTTCTCTGCCTTTGCCTTCCACACCATGCATTCCACCCACAGGCCCTCCCCTGAGAGGGCTCTAGCAACGGGTTTAGTAGGGCTTTATGGCTGTGGTGCAAGTTTGGACTGCCAAGTGAGTGAACTGAAAGACCAAACAGTCAATATCCTTGGAAGCAGTCCTCAACACTGATGGACTCGGGCTGGTGGCCATTAGCACCCGCACCCCCCACTCAGTGATCCAGCAGTGTTGGCTGTGTTAACAGGTAGAGGCTGCTCAGGGACAAGAGAATGGGCCTCGATCTTGGGCTCTGTTGCCGACTTTGAGCCATTTTTCTCTAACCCCTCAGAGCCTTGTTTTTTTTGATCTGTGGAGTGGGGAGGCCTGCTCCGCTGCCCTGAGGGTGTTCCAAGGATGAGTGCCCATGGCAGGCCATTGGCAGAAACCATGGCACAGGCATGGGCAGTGGGGGCGCAGTTCTGCGGCTGGGGCCTCCCCCTCTTTCGTCCATAACGATGGTGAAAGAACACAAGGCTGCTCTCAGCTCTCCAGAGCCCTGGTCTGTCAGAAGGTTGCTTGTGATGCCCGAAAGGTAGTGCCCTCTCTCTAGGACACTGCCAGCCCACACTGCAAGGTGGGAAGAGACAGAAGGGATTACTCTGGAGAGCCTAGACTGCTCCCATGCCTCACCTTGCCAAAAACTGATTCCCTGACTCCCCACCCGAAATCTGGGTGGTTTTGAACCCTGACAGTCTGTGTTCGCAATGAGCAGTGGACACTCATTTGAATGCAATGATTTCTTACCACATTTATGCCCTTTTTCTTCTGGCACTCCTCATGAGTTGTAATTATTCGCCTCTATTTTTAAAAAACACTTTTAAATGGAAAAATGTAAACATGTACAAAAAGAAAACATAGCAAGTGGCCCTCGTGGACCTATCACTCAGCTTCAACAACCAGCACCTTGGGGCCAGTCTTTTCCACCTCTCCCCCCCCCACCACCTCCTCCCTGTGTGAAAGTGAAGCATCAAATTACTTCACCTGTAAATAACTTTTGGTGAGTATCTGTAAATAATCAGGGCTCCTTAATAAAATACAATCACAATACCATCATTACACAATACCAGCATTATACTTAAAGAGATGAACAACAATTCCTTGATACGTGATTATGCTTAAACGTCAGTCTCCCTCCACTAGGCTGAGAGCTTCACGAGAGCTTTCTCTCTTGTTCTTGGCTGTAGCCACAGTGCCTGAGACCCAGCAGATGGTTGGTAAGTATTTGTTGATGGGTAAATGAATGGGAGAAAGGCAAAAGATGCTGGGACCCACTCTGCTTTCTGTGACTGCTGCCCCCGTCCATCCCTTGGACCCTGGGGTGTGATTGCTGCCTTGCAGGCTCACAGTCACTGACTCTGTCTCATGGGAGCAGCACTGTGGAGTCGTAAACTCCTCTGTTTCTTTTCCTCCCAGCTAGGCTTGGGCTTAATTGGGCAGCAAGTTACTAATCCTCTCCCCACGACTGCAGCCTCCTCCCCGTGTGCAGCCAATTCCACCTTCTGACTTAATCATCCTACTTAAGCACTTTCAATAAGGGCTTTTCGTCTTCAGAGCCAGGTTCAGGCATTAGTTGATTACTGTAATCTGTCTGACTTCCAAAGCATCTAATCAAGACGGGAGGGGAAGGGCTGGGGCTGCCCTTGTCCCTTGGAGCCTCAGTTTCCTCATCTGTAAAACTGGGTGAATGTATCTGTTATGGTTGGTATAGGGATTAAGTAAAATACAAGAACAAGGTGCTTTTCCCATGACACATAAGAAGCACTCGGGAGTGACTACTTTTTCCCAGTGTAATTCAAGGATTAAATCTCATGGGAGAGCCGAACAGATCTCGATTTGAATCCAGCCTTCTTCACTTACAGCAAAAATTTCTGAGCCTCAATTTCCTCATCTCTAATGTGGAGATAATGATGCCCATCTCTCAGAGTTTACTGAAAGGATTAAGCCACATGTGTTTGTCGGCCTGAGCAGGGTGTAGGGCACTAGTAAGTGTTAAATAGGTAGGTTATTGCTACTCCCAGGAGGAGGTGGAGGCGGGGAAAGGAGAAGGAGGCTCTGGTGCCTTCTCAAAGGTGTCAGTTATGTCTTCTCCTCGAGGTGTGCAAGTCCACAGCAGACACCTGATGTGCTGGACATTGTGCCCCTGGGCCTTTGTGTGTCCAGTAAATAAATGAATGGATTTGCTGAGGTGGGGACAGGAATTACATATGGGTATACTTCACTTTATTATGCTTTGCTTTATTGCACTTCACAGATACTGAGTTTTTTACAAATTGAAGGTAAGACATCCCCCCCTCCCCACCAGCAATAAGGTAATGAATGACTGGCTTTTTTGCTGTGGTATGGAACCCAACCCCCAATAGCCCTGTGGCATGCTTGTATCTGAACTTGACCAGACAGAGGATTTTTCAAGATCTTTATCTCACAACTGGACAAAGTAAACAAGCCAGAGATTACACCTCTGGCGTTACAGAGGCCCTGGGAGAGAAACAGGAGGCCTGTGTTGACAGCTGGAGCCACGCCCACCCCAATTTGGACGTAGCAGGAGTGTGCAGCTTTGGCAGCCAGTCGATTTGGGCCTCTGGCCCAGCGAGAGTGACAGTGTTCTCGGGATCTTCTAAAGCAGCATGGAATCTACCTCCTCCTCCTGCCTCGCACTGGCTGGGATGGGGCTGTGTCTCAGTGTGCTTGTTTTTAATTACCGAGAATTTCAACATTGGGGCTGCCATGACCAGCCATTGAGGTTATACAGTGTGCAACTCCAGGGCACAGACACCATTCACAATGAGTAAAATCAATGAATCCCCAAGACGTGAGTCCCACTGTGAAGTTGGAAGTGGCTGTAGGAGGAGGCAGGAGCCCTCCCCATGTACCAGCTGGACATGGGGCAGGAGCGCTGCTCTGGGAACCAGGGCTCCTGGGCATCCCCTGGTCTGGTGTGAGTGGGCAGGTCTATGTTCAGTGCCGGCATCTGGAGGCTGAACTCCACCCTTCACAGGGAGAAGGGCAGGAAAGCCCTGAGACCTGAGCTCTAGTTTTAAAACTTGAGAAGATTAAGGACAGGAGCACGAGTCTGAGCCAGGTACTTTATATACTGTGTTACACGTCTACAAAGGGGCTCCCTCCAGATACCCTGCAATTATCATCTGAAGGGTGGGCCCCTGTAGTACAAGCTTCCTCTGCTAGGTGAGCACTCTAGGAGAACATCTGTAGCAGTGTGCCAGCTGGCGTTGTTGTGAGAGGCTGCACTCAGCTTCAGGAATTTTTTTTGAAGACTCAACGCATTTGCCCATTTCAGGTCGGGTGATTTACAAACACACCTGCCCACACCACACTGAGTGTTCAGCAGTTTTCAACCAAAACCGACATGACCTCTGTGCCCCACCCTCTCTGTTCACCCAGTCTTGTCCTGAGCAACATTTTTGTTCCCCTGGATAAAAAAGTCCTCAAAGGGAAATGTTTTGCTGATGTGGAAGAGGTGAAACGAAAAACAACAGAAGCACTAAAAGGCATCAAAATTGACAAGTTCAAAAATCGTTCTGAGCAGTGGAAAAAAGTCTCAATAGGTGTATTGCATCAACTGGAGAGTACTCTGAAGGTGACTGAAGTTTAAACTTGTAAATAAATACACATTTTAAAATAAATAAATTCCATTTTGGGGGTCCCCCTGTCATAGTAATAATTTAATGTTGACAGTAAAGCTCTTTGGAGAGGCATAAAGAGGCAATAACCCACTTTAGAGATGAGTTAACCGAGGCGCACAGCAAGGAAGTTGCACAGCTGGGATCCCAACTCAGGCCTGTTCAACTCCAGGCCCTGCTACGTTACCACTAGTTGTAAACTGCATTTTACAAGGGAGGGAGCGGAGGCTCAGGGAGGGGCAGTGCCTAGCCCAGGGTCACACAGCCGGGTAGTGGCAAAGCAGATAAGAAACCCATGAACCTAGGCTTCAGTCCCAAATGAGCCCATATGGGTGCCTGGCCCATTAGTATTTGTTACGGAAACAAGTCTAGGAAGGGTGACCTAGGATGGCTAGGGATAGGGGATCGGGGGAGGTGGAGCAGGTGATGAAGGACAGGCACCAAGCCACCATATTTTTGCCCCCAGATCTCTGTAAAAGGAGCCCTGTTACTTTCATAGCAGGGCTTG